ACAGATTCAAGGTAATGACATTGCGTGGACCACGTTGCAAGGCACAGCATGCTGAATTAGGCATTTTATGTGTGTCTCGCCAAAGCAACGTAAATAAAGTCACTAAGTAGGGTCCAGAAAACATGTTGCCAGACAGCCTGGGCTTTAAAAATACATGAATTAGTCAACTTCTGGAAGACGAAGATATTCCGTTCATTTAAATTCTAATTGTTAAAGGTCTGTCATTTTCGAAAAATTGCCATAAGCCATAACCTTTTTCCGGTCTTTCGTGGGAAGCAGTATTAAGGTCTAAATACACCAAAAATCTGTGAAAATTATATATATGCCTATATATACTCATGCGGAGTTTGTTTGCTTCAGGGAGTCAGTATACGAGGTCGGACCTATTCCTGTTTGAATACGTAAATATTCTGCAGTGACAGCGAATGACAGGTGGCGAGGCACTGACGAACTTCGGTTTAGTTAAGTGCTTATGACCTACCTGCTAGGCACAGCCTGCAGACTATATGTACTGAAATCGAGCGCATATTTGCGTTTCGACTCCCAGCTGACAGTCATGCTTAGGATTGACTGAATGAAGCCAGAATAAGACCGAAACAGACTACGTCAATCTGACCGCATTTTCTGTCATCCTCCCCTCCCCCCCTTTCTGTTGATATATCTACTACGCCAAGAGTGAGAATAAAAGACAATGCTGGCTCGATTTTTGAGTTTAAACCAACTACAAAAGCTAATGCTCCTTTGACAGCGGAATAGTTGACAAGCCAAATTTTTGTTCTCTCTTAAAGCCTATGCAGTGAATCCCTCTTAGTAGGATTATGTCGAGTAACATGTTTGAATCGATTGGGTAGCCTTGGAGAACCACGGATTAAGCGCCTCCGCAGAGTCTGAGATCTCCTCTCTGAGTAAGTAAGTAAAAAGGCAAGTGCGGTGAGATTTGTCCATAAATCTCCTCCTTGGCTCCGTCCACATGTAGATCCTATGCACATGTGTAATGCGAGCCTAAAATTATCACGTTTTACCGTGGCTGAGAAGGTTATCAACTGACACTAAGATCAGATCGGGCCATCAACCCAGTGTGCCTAGTGTGTTTAGGGGCTGATAGGTGGACTGAGGGTCAGACGGCAACGGCTCACCTCACCTGCGTCGACAACTGTAGTAAATGTGGCCAAAGGCCGAGATATCCCCGTCCAATTACGCCTTGTGCGAGTCCCCAAGGAAGAACACGACAAGAAGAGCGCAAAAGCAGAAGTCTCTTTGTGTACAGCCATGTCTAGTAGACCAATCAGATGCTGTCCTGGAACGAGTATTGACACAATTGGTCTGTGCCTCAGCGGCTGGCTTGTCAGAGTCTTAGCCTGGCCATATCTTTAAATTTTAAATTATTGATTGATTGATTGTCAGTTGCGTTCGCCGTGTGTAGGCGGATCAATAGCCTTTCCGCCAGC